CCGTTATATTCTGGAAAAGGTGGGCTAGCTAAATTTATCCAACGTTTTATCTGTATTTTTATGCTTACTTTGATCAGTCGGTGAGCGGGGCACACTGAGAAGTAGCACTTTTATCGTGCGGTACGCGAAGGATTTGATTCTACCGGTGGAACAATCAATCCCTCAATGTTTTATCCATACTTTTCGATGGTAAATTGGTAGTGGCATATGTCGGGGAGTCAAACTCATCATCAGCTGGCTTATTACGTTCCTTAGACGAAGGAACAATCGACAAGTTTACCAGCGAGTGGTTGCTGTTGGCGGTGATTTTGCTTCTTACAGAGAGCGAATACGAAGGGGATTTTAAGTTTGATTTTGATCGTCGCTGTTATTTCATCACAATTCCAATTTGTAACCGCAATTTCTTTATAATTTTTCTGGCAGAGCTGCATAATCTTTTAGTTTATTTGTTTGTGGAGTTTTCTTTGCTTTTCCGTTCCGTTTTCCCGCACTGGCCCTCAGTGACTTCCGATGAGGCTGTTTTTTTTTGAAACAAGGGGTGGAGGGTTTGTAATGACCTCTAAAATGATTTCTGTTTGCAGGCCATATCTGAAGCACCGGATAATATAATGTTGAAGTTCAATCATGCATTCGTTTTGCAAAAATTGGCGACACAAATGCTTCGTGATGATAAATCATCGCTGGAGATGGTCGTCGGCGCAGTTGAGGATTTACGAACTGCTGCTGTGTAAATTTTTTTTACAAAAATTATTTTTAGTACTTTTTTTTAAAAAATTTCACATAGCTTTCTAAACTGCGTATGTTTTCGATTGGTGAGTTTTGGTAATACATTATAAGTGAAAAGAGGATTTTTCTGTTGCTTAATTTTGTTATTTCATTTTTTTTTTTGTTTTAGTCGGTAGTTAATCTGGAAGGACCTAAGTGCTGTCGGGAGAATAGAAAACCTTCCCGTGTTTACTGTTGTTAACCATAAGTTAAAAACTTTGCGAAAGTTTTCCGTTGTGGTGCAGTAGATTTTACTGTATTTTTTGCATGTGATTTTCTTGCATTTTTCCCGGGGGGTTAATTAATCCTAATTTTAATCACTTTAATCGGCTGTTGTTTCATTGTCGCGTTTCTCCTCACTGTCGATACAACTGGCAACTTCTCCATTCTTCTCTGTTTTATACTTAGTTTATCTGTGTAACACCGTGTAAGCATTCATGCCAATCTTTCCACAGCATTGGCTGCTTTCCCAGTACGCATTTGACAGTGTTATTTAAAATGGGAAAA